GTGCGCGCGGGGCCGGGCGGGCGCCTCGCTCCTCGCCTGAGGTGGCGGCGGCTCCGCCCGCGGCCGCCTGAGGTATCTCCGGGGAGCGCGGCCCGAGGGCGAATCTCCTGGCGCTTCTTCCTCGCTAAAGCGTCGTCACAAACTCGAAATTAGCGCTCCAGAACCTGATGTCCCCCGCGTAAGCGCAGCATGCCCGCTGCCCGCCGCCGCGCTCATGCCCGCGCGTGTGGTGTTGCAGAGGAACGCCGGCAGCAGCTCCGACGGCACGGAGGACTCGGATTTCTCCACCGATCCCGAGCACACGGACAGCTCCGAAAGCGATGGCACCTCCCGGCGCTCGGCGCGCGTCACCCGCTCCTCGGCCAGGCTCAGCCAAAGCTCCCAAGGTAAAAATGTTATTCCCCTCAGTGGCAGGAGGCTGGGTGTGCTGCATTTTGCTAGTCTCTGGGGCTTAAAAGTGTGCTGAGGTTATGTTGAAGTAAAATTTTATATATATATAGGTATGTGTAAATGTATTTGTCCTTGGGTATTGTGGTACCACGGAAAAGAGCAGTCTTTGTAAATGCATGTTGTAGAAAGGAGGCAATACACACTTATTGGGTGATACAGTCTAAAGATTATATTGGTGTGAAAGTCAAGAATCCAGTATATTTTGCTTAAAAAGTAAATCTACCTTTTAAGCAAAAGAAGATTTAAAAATTCTGATTCTGCTTCCAGCTTTGACTTTTTTTCCCTGAGATCTCTAAAATTTTACTTGCCATCTAATTATTCACAAACGTACTAAACTAGTTACATGGTCCCTGTACAGTGAGGGTTTTCAGGACTGAAAGCCTGGTTCGTTTGGGTCCTTTCTGTATTGCAAGGCAAGATGAGCTTTCATGGCTTGTTGGAGCTGTTCTGCAGTGAATGTAGTCTATATATTGACAGTTATTTTGTATGCTTCCACACCAGAAGTGGCCCTGTGTTCCCAAGGATTCCTTAAACACCAGTAGCATTTATTTAAAGCAATGGTTCTTTACCTTTCCAGAAGGGACCTGTTTTGTAATTACTAGTTAAATAAATAAGTCCAGAGAAAGTTGATATAGGTGCAGATTTCTCAGTATTGGCTATAGTGTCATATATTTAACCTCAGAACAACAGAGCATTCCATGTGGTAACAGGTAATTCTGAGCTGCAGGATGACAGAACTGTTGATATCCAGCTTTCTGAGGTTGATATCGCACTTTAGAGTGTATGTGAGTTTAGCTCCTTACGGTGTATTTTTTTTTTTTTGTGAGGTTAATTTTGGTGTCTCTGTTGAATTAGATTCCAGCCCAGTTCGCAATCCACCATCATTTGGAGCAGAAGAGCCTGTTTATTCCACGAGGAGAGTAACTCGCAGCCAACAGCAGCCCACTCCCGTGACTCCAAAAAAATACCCGCTCCGACAGACCCGTTCCTCTGGATCAGAAACTGAGCAAGTGGTTGACTTTTCCGATAGAGGTATGTGGGGTGCAGGGAGGCTCTAAGAGTTAGCAAAATGCTGACAGAAAGGGCACCTGCTTTGTTCTCTGAGGGTGCATTACTTATTTTTTTTGAAAGCTTTCTTTTTGTTAATTTGTAACATCTTGATGCTTATTCAGACACTAAAAACACAGCAGATCACGATGAGTCTCCACCTCGCACCCCTACGGGAAATGCCCCTTCCTCCGAGTCCGATATTGATATCTCCAGTCCAAACGTATCCCATGATGAGAGCATTGCCAAGGACATGTCCATGAAGGATTCGGGAAGTGACCTGTCTCACCGCCCTAAGCGCCGCCGCTTCCACGAGAGCTACAATTTCAACATGAAATGTCCCACTCCTGGTTGTAACTCTTTAGGTAATTTCAACTTGAGGATTAACGAGTTGGCTTTTGCCTTTCTGATGTAATATTCAAAGTCCTACTCAGTTGAATTCATACTTCCTGACAGTCTGTGTTTAATTAGGATCAGCAACATTCCTGGGAAGTGGGTATAGAGATGGGAGATAGAGTACATCTGTGGGTATATTCTTTCACAAGGTGTTTTTGGCTAGAAGCAGATTAGTGCAGTCCTCTAATTAATGTCTGGCTGCTTGTGTGGAATGCAGATTTTGAGCTTTTTTACTCCTTTTTTTTTT